AGCGCTGGAAGTTAAGTGACTGTCACATATCACACTGAAAACGAACAAAAACTGAGGAACAAAAAACAGACTCTAGACTGGGTAGCATAATCAAGGTGAGCAGGCTTATAAAGGCACAACAAATAAACTAGGGAGATTTTGGTGTTCGAATAAATAAATTTAGACCAAAACGTGAGGATTAGTCGGCATCAACAGAAGCAGTCACTTGAGCAGAAACGCGGGCCAGATAAGTTTGCTGTTTAGTAATCATTCGTTCACTGGTTGCATGTCATCCAAAGAGCACTGGTAACTAATAGTAGCTGAGACTTTAACTCGGGAGAGTTGGGGTGTAATTTTTAACCGTTGTATTTGCTGTCGCATTTTGCTCCACGATTCCAAGACTAGTGTAACTATGCCCAATCCCGAAGGGGAGCTTCGGTGTACCGAATCGAGTAGCTGAATGACCAAGTAACTTATATAAAAATGTTGATCACAATGCCGGCCAATATTTTGTGATGCAGGAGCGTTTCGAAATGTTGTCTGGAACGTTGTTTGTTTGCGGTGTCAGGACATCACCTGCACTGTTAATTCCATGAGCCGTTTGAAGCAAGTATTGCTATACTCTGATCTGATTTTTTCCAAGAGCGTCAGATTGATTTTTGCCTGGTAAATTAGAGAGAGTGAACACCGAAATGTGAAAACTGCATACCTGGCAAGCTTACTAAATAGTTGCTCGAATCTTTGGAGATTTTCGTGACCTAGCAGGAGGCATGATTCGAGGTCATTCTCGAAGGGTGGTGCGACCGTAACCACGCACACTGGACCCACCTTAGCTTCAAGTCGATTTATGCTGAAAAGTCTTTGCGAAGCTTTCTCGCCCCGTATTGATAATATGAATATCGCAGACGTCTGGGATGTATCAAACTTGAGAGCCTTCAGCTAGTGTTCGAACAACCAAGCATAAGCAAGGGGTGGTTGATAAGCTGTGTGCCAGATTGAATGTTCTGGCCGGTCTTGGCCTAATGGACAAGCACGATACAGGCGCATTGTGGTAGGTAGTGGACAAGCATGTGCTACTTTCTCTCACCTACTTACGTACCCATGAAAGAATATGTTGCCAAGCAGATATTTTCTTACCCGCGCTCACGTAGGTACGCACCAGCTCAGGAGCACATATATATATGTATTTATGTATACATATATATGTGTACTTAAATGAGCGCGACGGCGTGCAGTTTTGTGTATGTGACCATCTGCCTCTGAGACGTGTCTCCACACGATCAGGAAGAATTCCACCATGCGATCCACTCGAGAGATAATGTAAACGAATGTTTCATTCAGTCCAGTGTCCCATCCACCGTTCACTAATTCGATAAGCTTTTATCATGTTTTTACAAAAGTTGTATACATGGCACTCAGTCTGTGTGATGCAATCGATTCTATGAATAAATTGAAAGTTTTATTTGGCCAGATACAAACGGTGTGTTGCCCATGACTGGTGAGAGTAATGAGTCCCGGATATAGCCCCTAACTAACCGAAGTAATGCTTCGTGCAATAGAATCAGGAATGTGTTAATTTTTTGCAGTTTGAGCTTGCTGACTCTGCAAGGATGACGATACGCACGTCACAATCTTCTACTAACGGTCTGATAATCGGAACCCCTTCCCATTTGACGCTGAAAACCGATTGAAACACACTTTACATCACGGTTGATAGGCTGTGTAGAGCGTCGATTATTTGAAGCAGTTTCAAGTGAAGCGAAGGAATGTAGCTGATTTATCATGAGTTGCGTCTGCCACTTGAAAAGCCATCCTTGCATTTTATCCGTCTCAAGTGGGTTTCGACGTTTTCTGTATCCTTGCGGTTATTTTCTAATGCGTGGTATGGAATAAACAAGAAATGGCGAATGTAATGTAGCTAGCTGCCGGTTTGAATTTCTTCCCTATAGAAACGTCCATGAACACTAGTGAAGCGGCGGACAATTGTAATTTGTATAAATATGCAATTTCGAGAAATTTTGGCTGTATAATTGAAATTTGAACTATGTAGTGCAATAAGGGAACGAACATCATTTCTCTCAGTTGATAACAGAGTGACGTACAATCAACATTGCGTTTACATAACGAACCGAGTAGGTTCTTGTCACGCTGAGTACCACTTAGGGACATAAATCACCATGGACCGAAACTTCATCAATTTCACCACATGACAGTCCATCAGACTTGGTACAACCTAGTGATGGGAATCAGCTTTTGCGCGCCAAGGTAATTACCTACAGAATTCATAGCTCGACACCAAAAGGCCTATGGTGGGATCTATTGGATGCCACAATCCATAGTGCCCAATAGTAGGATGCGAACGTCACCATTCGTTATCATCATTATCAACTGTAAGAACCGCATACTTATCGTACAGTGGTTGTAGCTGCCACAGTTTTGTTCATTGAGAACCGCATATTATCGTACAGTGGTTGTAGCTGCCACAGTTTTGTTCATTGATGATTTGGATAGGTAGGGCTGGTAGTTGCGAATAAGTAATACGCACAGCTTAATTGCCCATAAGTAAACGGATTATCCATTTGCACAGCTTTCCTAAGATTATAGGTCTTCGTTATGAGCATATGTTCTGAAAAAATAAACCCGAAATAGCAGCGAACAGTAATATTGCGCGATGCTTTCTCTCACTGCGAAAATCTCGCATCTGGACGAACGAAGCACCATACCGCTTATTACCCTTTGAAAACAAATTTACATTTTTGTTACTGTGCTCAGAAGTAAATAAACCCAATTACTCTTATGTTTGAGCAGTGATGTTGCAATCCTTGAAACATCGAACACTTCTGTCCATATCAAGGAAAATGTCAGCTATTTCAAAATTTGAGGGACGTTATTCAAGAGTTGAACTTAGTCTCATCACAAATGACATGTATATTGCAGTTAAGTCTGCACCATTCCAAATCTGTAGAGATTCGCGGTGGATACATAAACTTATCGTGGTTCTGATGGTATCCGTTATCTTCATCGCCTGCGAAGCCGGAGGAGACATAGAATGAGTCACCTAAATAAACTACCCAAAAAGGAAATACCATCGCCTTAAAAGTCACAAAGTGGGGATGTGAGCGCACTGTTAATACACATGAACATTGTGTAGGAAATTATTTTCCATAGGCTAGGTGTGAATTCGGGTCTGACTAGTTTTAGGCTTCTCCAGAAACACTAAGCACTGATACATTATCAGGTGACTCTAGTCCGAACGATCATTGATCCTCGAGAAGGGGCCACCACGTAGTTACTTAGCCATAAGGTAGACTCCTTGCCAAACGATGTCTCAAAGATTCCATAGAGTACCAAAAACTTCTGTCGCACCACGCTTCCTGCCATTGTTGGGAAGAATCACTTGAGTTTGAGATGCTCCAACCTGTGTCACTTGACTGGTGGTTTCAGTATACTGACTAAGGAACAAATTGACCATAGTCCGGAGCCACAGAATGTCCGAAATGGGAGTTATTCCATTTTAAAAGGATTACTTATACAGTGAAAGTTTGACTCATGGTAAATAGCTAGACCAACTCATCCAAACGGTGGTCAGTCTGCTCTTAAGAGCCGATAATTTCCTGTATATGGTTTGGAATCCAATCATATTTTTATGCTTTCTTGGACGCATGATTCTTGCACCTTAATCAATGTCCATATTTGCACAAAATGTGGTGGGATACTTTCGCATGATCCCTGTTCTGTTCTACAAGAATAATGCTTCTTAATCACTCACAAAGTTCAAGTTTTCAGAGGTTGATATATATTAAGAGGTGAGAAGAATACTTTTCTGAAAGCTCATTGACGTTAGGTCTGATAGGGCGAGTTTGGATCCTGTTGAACAGATTAAAAATGCTTGAGTGAGAGAGGGATCACCTTAAAATGCCTTCGATAGCTGTCGTTGAAGAACACGCTTGTTCGGTACCCTAATGGGATGGCTGTCCACCACTTAGGCCACAGTTGTTTATTAATCGGTCTAACAAAATGTCTCGACGTCGTCTAAGTTCCAGTTACCGTGTCAAGTGGAAGGCCGATGACTTCTTTTACATTGACTTTTGGACGGGGCTTTGAAGTGTTCCCAACTTTACTGTGCCCAAATTTTTTGGTGTCATGAATGGCGGACTATGAACCATGTACACCACTTATTTCTCACATTGCAGTTAGGGAGGTAATGCCCAGAGAAGCTAACCAATAATGCACTTTTCTTGAATGGTGCCAACTAAAAATTGACAAAAATAAGCTTTGTATAACCAAAATAAAGTGGTCTGATCAGATGAGGACAATTCCAATTGAGTCTGCAGGCCCAATTTGTTTCTTGAACTCATTGAAGAAAATAATATGAGCTAATCAATAACCCTTCCTCGTTATGGACCGTCCACACTCCGCCACGATACTTTGTATGAGTCAGAAGCAATCGTTTTAGTGATTTTACCATTCATTTGAATCGCCTGAATACCATACTGTCACCTGGTCCGTCAGGTCTTTCCATGTTTAGTGTTACGATAACTAAGACATAGTAAAATATTCCATTGTAAGCCTCCGCTGGTCTGCTCGTCTGAAAAATATTCAATTCTTAAGAATCACCCGCCCGTAACATTTTTGTGAGTAGGAGTTCTTGCGCACGTAACCGATAATTATATATTCAGAATCATTAAACATTTTTTTCGTTTTTCGAACAAAATTTTCGAAGATGTTCCGGATAACTTGGCGACGTGCATCTTTTCTTCTCACGGTTCAGCGAAAATGATGATACAAATAAGCCTGTGGTTCTCGATGATTATTTCATAGCTGTGTGCGTATAAGGTCGGGAATCGCAAACCCGATAAATAGGAACTTTTGTGTCTGCAGTTTAAACATCCAAAATTAATGAACGAAGACGAAAACCCACGAGGTTACAAATACTTGCATCCGGAAAACAATTAGGTGGGAGACGAGAAAAAAGAAAGTGAAGAATGTGCGTACGAATGTATGTGGCCCACGGACTCACCCAGTTCGGCTGTCCTGAAGCTGACGGGTTTACTTGGGAGCGAGAGGCCAGAGGATCGGCTGACCGAATGAACGCGTGCAACGTATTCTGTATACGGTGTAAGGTCGGACAAATTGTACGACACGTATTCACTGCTAGTTGCCAGTGAACCAGCGTGATCTAGGCCTGCGCTTTGGACGATGTTGGCTACCTGACGACGACCAAGTTTGCCCAAATCGTGATCTTTGGCCTCAACACTGAGAGTGTAAGAATCGACTGACGGTGATGTGCTTTTATGCCATAAGAGCACCGCGTAAGTGGCTCCGATAGGTCGAGCGTCCAAGCCTGTTGGTGCTGCAGGAAGTTCTGGGTGCGTAAAAATGAGGCACGGCAAAACGGTTTTCCTCAGTACAGTACAGAATTCATAAAGCAGCGTTACAGAGCGCGATCGTCCCAAGTACATCAGCTCCTGAGTCTTGGAAGAAAGTTCGTCAAGGCCAACTAAAAGCAAACTGACAAGGTTGTGGGAACTCTGAATCATACGGGTTTACACAATACTCCTCCTATGTCAGCAGCTCGGAATCACGTTTACTGAACACAAACCGTCATGTGAGGGGACAGCACTGGACTCGAGTTTCACTCTAGTTATAGCCCATCCGCATCCCGACAAGATTTGAACACCTTATATCAGGAGCAATTGTCCAGCGTGTTATCCTTTGCTCGATGCACGCTTAGTTAACAAGTTTGAATACTGAGCAGTGGAGCATGAACAATGAGCTTGGTTTCCCTAGCCCCTCGAAAGACGACTGGAGTAGCCATTCGGATTTCGTCGGTTGACTGGCTAATCAAATTTCTCTGGAATGGACCCGCCAGTTTGTTCAAACGTTATCATTCAGTTTCATCTGGCGTTCACTAGTCGTGCAGTGGTACTCAACTTGACTCATATCTCAAACCCTGGGGGTCAATGTTCCGACATGGCTAAGGATCTGCACCACTGATAGCACTTATTAAGAGCAGAATTCGAGTCTACTGCTTCCTTTTTTGGCGTGGATTGGCCAGACTAATTGCATTAGGGCAGAAGAGAGATTGGAAAAAGTAGAGTAAGGAGAGCACAAGTTCCACATTACGGCTAACTAACCCTTCAATTTACTTTGTGCTGCATCGTTTAATCTTTCAGGTGTTTCACTTGGTATTCATATTGAGATATGGCGCTGTGCAAGCATCGAGCGCCAAAAATTGCGCAACTCAACTCGTGTCACAAATTACACTCATTTACCGGGTTCTTTAACCGACTGTATTTGTGCTATAAAGCTCTCCAAATTAGCAGGAAACGCATGAGTCTCATTCAGTGCCACAGGATGATTCTCCTTGTGATACATTCCTTGAAGAGATAATCAGCTCTTCTTTGGCTCTGGAAGATTTGTGTCCCTAGAAATAAGCTTCCGTATCACAAGAGTTCTGTTCTCCAGGCTTATGGTTTCTTTGTCGTGAACCTTGAATTAGAAAGTAATGCATATAGTTAGTTCCCTCCAATTTGTTCCGAGGAAGAACCTGATGGTTATCAAGCCAATAACTTGACAATTACAGTCAGAAGTGATTACTGAATCTCCTACAAAAGACTGATCACTTCTACTCTGTAAACCTTGTAAATTTTATTCTCTGAGCAAAAGTGTGTTTATAGTTAATGGCCTGTCAAACTAACAATCCCATCCTCACTTCTAAAACGTACAGTTAAAACCTTTTATCATGACTAGATTTCACTAGTACGTAACTGCATGAAGTTTGATTAGGTATGCATTTAGTTTGTGGGCTGTACCGAGCCCACAGAAATTTATCACTATAGTCGTCAGTTCATTTTTTACATTTTAAAAGTGCTACCAAAAACAACTGCCCTACTATCCGTTCATGAGAGTTTCCCATTCGCAAAAGGATGGCGCACTTCATGGGTCTTGAGCGTGTAAAGGATGTACGAGTATTCTTAGATATTTCAGTATTTCTAAGTTGCCCGTGCTTTTTAACTATTTGCTCATTTCAACAAGGATTGCGTAACACCAGTTATGTAGTGTTTGATCACTTCTGCCCCAGCGATTATCGGATATAATAAACCTGTGGGATGAGTATTTGTCCAGAGTATTTGATAATTCAGCAGCGGTCATCGAAAAACTCTCTTCATCTGTTTTTCTTGCCCTACCCGCGCCAGTTATTTGTCCGTCAGTGTTGTTGGAATTTCGAACTGGGATTATACAAAGTACTGCATGCAGCAGGCATTCCAAATATTTACTAACTTTGTGAGACTAGTTTGCGCTACTAGCAAGCCCGTAGTTATAAACTGAAGGTGCTTAAAACCCCCAGCTCTGTGTAGGAATATAGCCCTTTTCAAAGGTGGTCCTCGAAGTGATGCCAAAACCCAGGTGTACTCTCAGTAACCGCTACGTAAATTTTAAAGCGGACCTCTATTGAATAATGTCCAACGGGAGCTGAGTGAGAATAACGCATCTGTGTCCGAAGATGTTCTTTAGCAGTGAATAAAGCATATCCGCCTGATGCTGAATGCAAATGACGTGGTTGGTGCTACTACTTACTACTTACTACTACTACTACTTACGTTATCTTCACCAGTTACGTAGATGGAGTTGTTTCATCCAGGACAGTATACAACAGTCTTCTAGGGGTCAATTGACTAGTTAGGTTTATTCCGGGCTGGTAGCGGAAGACTTGGAATATCTTTAAAAGTAAGGCTTGAAAAAGACAACGAAGGTTGAAATTTTTGAACTTGGACTGCTGAACAAGTCACATGTTGTGCCCGCCTGTTAGAGTCTAAGTAACCAGTTTCATTGTACGATTGTCCACACCACCACAGTATTCCACTCGAGAACCTGTTATTTACAAGGCACCAGCGGTAAATCGACATAAGTTCATGAATGTCTTCGTTAAAGGGAAAAATCCATCTAGTCTGTTAGGCCTTGGGTGACTGGACGACGTAAGTAGAGGTAGCATGTACAACAGACCAGAGGAAGCTGTACATTTTAAATTCGGGAGAGTTTTCCAATCAGATCGCGAACTTGTGAGCATCATCACAGTGTCCTGCTTGTAAATTTTTAGGCCCAAACTTCTAAACGCCAAACAGGTGTTAGCTGAGAAATTAGTTCTGGGTCTGGTGCCCTTTTTCATCCTAATGGGGGAAGTTAGAATTCTGCATAGCATGCTATTTTTCAGAAATTGATGCTAGTGAATTTCTTAAGCAGACGTAAAACACAGCTGGTCATTGAGAATAAAGTCCTTTGTAGTTACATCTTTTACCTTGTTAATAAATGACCGACCATTCGCACTTTCTCATATAGATAAACAAGTCTGCTAAAGATGCCAACACGCCTTTTCTACTTTTATGTCTGACAGAAAATCACAGAAAGTCCTGATTTTTTTATATTTAAAATATAGTACGGGATGGATTGTTGAATTCGCGGCTTTTTTGTTTATTCCGGAGAAGATGCTGAAATTCACATGTTTGAAGTAATTGATCACATCGGATATGATAATAACTCGCATAGAATCCACTATCAGCCAACTGAAAGCTGAAACTCTAGTGTGAACACCTGTAAATGAGGCCGACTCAAATAATTATGGAACCTCCCTCTGGTGCTGCTAGCAATAAGACAGAAGCCACATGAGCTAAGTGCATCACAATGCCATTCACGGGCGAAGTATGTGCCCCAACTATAGCAATATTCTCAGCGTTTGACATCTCCATCAAAGATGTCTAGGAGTGGCGGTGTTTCACGATAAGCATCCAGGTCTCACTAGTGGAAGACAGTGATTACGCAGTAGTCGCGTGGTTGAAATTTTCAGGAACTAAGCACTTAATATTACGCCTACTATAGCATGGCACCCAATGTGACAGAATCAACTTTAGGAAGTAATCAGCCTGTATTTTTGCACTTATCTGCGGAAAATTATCAGTTTATTTGAGCAGAGAAACCAGTTTTTAAGGTTAATTTGCAAATATCTTAAATAATGTGGACGGGAACAAATGAATTTACTTACGGACGTACAGATTTATCAAGCTTCTGTCTGGAGAGTGTTCAGACGTTCCCAAGTTGGTCAACTAGACTGCTGTCTGACGTGCTAAAGCTTCTAAGATTCATTGCTTCACACAATGCTCAACGTTTTTGAATTTTGTTTAAATTGGATTGTCTAGATAACTTAACTTTACTGTGGTATTAGGATTTTTCTTCCAAACCGCTTTAGGATAATCAGTGAGACATCCAGTGAAAGAGGCTGGAGTCCTTACTATGAAACTCATTGATTATTGGTAAGACGGTTATTGATCTGTTCACCGAGCTAGGCGATTAATTTACAAACGTTTCGTTAGCATACAAGAAGACATCATAAGTGTGCAGTCGGTTGGGCCAACAAATTAGCAATATCATACCTGTAAGGTAACTGCCATGATTTACGATCAGGTTATAGTGGAAAGCGCAAGATTTCAGGTGAACTTACGCGACAGTTTAAGGAGATTTACTGGTTGAATGCAATAGTACGCAAAAATCCAGAGTCGAAAATATCCGTAATGTAGCCGATATCTTTGTGTATGAAACTGTGCAAAGGATGCGTACAGTTTCAAATAAGAGGCACCGTGTAAACCTTGGTTTGATGTTCAGCTCATGGTCCGAGAAACTCAAAAGTATAAAGCACTCACTGCTTTTGGTGTGGTTTGACAACTCAGTTAGCGTAACCATTCATTCAAGTGTATTCTGAGTGGAGTGTGCGACAGATCAGTTTGTTTCTTGGTATATAGGTATATCTAGGCATTCCCGTTAAAACGAGAAAGCCCTTGATCTTTCAGTTTCAAATAAATAACGTATATGGATTCGATGAACAATACAACTCTTGTGAAGAGACTGGTTTCTTTTGTTCTTGTCCGGAGGCGTCACTTTAGTTTAGTTTCTCGAAGATGGATGAACAGAACAATGGAGGTATATATGCCCCAGTCGACCACCAAAACTGTCCATCGACTCACCTACGTCTGCAGAATAAATCATTTTGGGAAAATATCGGCCTATTTTGTATTACGACCCTAGCAGATCTGTCCGCCATTCCTCAATTAACATAGTTTAGTTCATATTATAGCCCCCACTGAAGATATGCTCTGGCTGCAGCCCTCATACGGGTGATGAATTTTGAATTTTCTCAACCAGTGAATGACGCTTGTGGCACCTGAATAATTGGTATGCGAAACTCGGTAGAAGAAAGCTCTACTGTGTCCTGTCAGCCATACCATGTTTGACCACTGCGGTTTGTGTAATCGTGAATTGGTGATATTCACTCATCTCACGAACATTGGTCTCTGGACTGATCCATTGAAAAGACCTAAATACCAGCGTCGTTGGTTTTAATTCATAGGCGAGAAATCGGGTTTATCCATAGAAAGCTGGCAAAAGGTGTGCGTGTCTCAAACTCTCGTTTCGAGAGGATGTTCAATGCTTTGGCATCCGTCAGCTTTCCAAGGTGATCATCTGTCGATTAGAAAATTCAACCCATACAAACACTCATCCATTTTCCGGGGTTCCCTGTTGTATTGCAAACATGAAAAACGGAATCAGTGCATTGAAATGTTGTTGTTGGCAAGGCGATTTTAATGAAACCACAGTGCGGAAAGCTGTTTGGCCCAACCCCATATCTTGGAATCATAGACTGACATTACATTTCCTGATAGATTTACTTGACTTCAGTTGGATGAGTACAAGTTTCTATCATAAAGGCATTATGGAGGGTTGTCATCACAGTAATCAGAAAAACGTCCAGGTGAATTTATCAGACTTGATACGAATTTCGCATCTGACCAGAGGATTAATGATGACTGACTCCTGTCACTCTTACCATGCAGTCTACTTGAAAATGAGCACTTTTATCCTCAGGCAAATTTTCTACTCCGAATTTCATTCAACCGTGAATGTAGCTTGCTCCCATTTTCTCGTTCATGCGTGTAACGCTGAGTGCTCGCTCAAGTGCACCGAGAAAATATTTTTCAGAATCCGCAGCAATAAGTTCAACGTGACTGAACAAATCTATTTGTTCAATGCGTGTAGCAGCGTCATACTATTTTGTCGTAAATATTCGTTGCTGCAAGCAATCTGAAGATGTGATTGGCAAGCCCTTACGCATTCTGGTTGGTAGATGGCCTACCTCACTCGAATAAATCTTATCTGGCAACAAAACATCTTCGCTTTGACAAATTTTAGCTGCAGGATACAAACCAAGGTTTGAGGGCGTTTTGAAAACAAACGAATAACCCTAAGTTAAACATACTTTAAACAATTTTGTGTGCATCAACAGTGAGCATCTGATTCCTGCTTTTTTATTCTGTTTACCTGGTAGTGAACTAAATATCTAACTCCACATTTAGCTGATGAGTATTTAGTAAACTTGTTGTATGTATGCGGTAGACAACCCTCGACGGCCTCAGGAGAAATAACACAGTCGAAGCCCCTAGAAGCCCAATGAGATTCCGCACAGGATGTTCCTGACTTTGGTGGCCAAGTTGTTTGTTACTGTACATCGCAATTTCGAATTTATTTTTATGGTTTCGGTTGCATTTTGCTGTTTGGGATTCTTCTTGGTTGACTAATTTTATTTTATTATGCATATACATAGAATTCGTACAGAAAATTTAGAATTTGTAAGGCTACAACCATCCAAAAGGTGTACAGACCACAGCAAACAATGCATGGCGCTAGCCAACCTTATCCCTGTACCTTATTTGAGTCATCAGGCCATCTACTGTGTTCACTATTTGTATCGTTTATTTAGTGTTATCCACTTGAATCTATAATTACGGGTTACAAACTGGACATAAGGATGGTATTAGAACTGTACCCTCCTATTCACTGTCCCCTCTTATTGCTACCTCTTTACACCTACTACGAGTGTCTCAGTGCAAACCCTACGCACTTTATGCCAATCCGGAGAAGGATGCCAGCCTGCCACTTACTGCTTACTACTACTACTTACTCTCAGGTAAGATGTACTAATATCTCTTAAGTTTTAGCAAGCAGTCCATGAGTGCTCTAAGCTTTTTTCTGATATTTTTAGTTCTTACATCCGCGGCTGAGATCACATTGAAGATGGGTTCAGGCTGGTACTCAATAGAAATCACTAGTGGCTGCCTAATGGGTAACTACCGATTCTGTTCTATAGCAGTAATAACTTGATAAGACGCCCAAGACCCACAAATGGTATAACAAAAATTATGGGGAATTATTGACGAAACGCCGATGAAGGTTCCTCCGTGTCTCGTTATTTGAAATCGCTCACTTTTTCTATATATGCAACACTGATGACTTTGAATGGCCATGCCAAACTCTTCTCCTGAACAAGCAGGTCCACCTAACCCTATTTCGTTCGATGAATATGCGTCCAAGGATAAATAATTATTTTGTGTCGGACAGAGTGAAAATCAAAGTGTGATAACATACAACATACCGAACAACTTGGCAATCCTAGTTATCGTTCAATAGCTTGGTGAAATAAATCGTGCAAATATGTTCACCGGTAATTCATGCAATATTGGTAACTGCGCTTTTTGAAAATGGACCACCGTCTCCCATTGCTGGTTGAGTGTTTTCTTGAAGCACAGGTGACTTTGTTTCTACAAATTCAGGCAACTCATTCTATACATTTTGTCGCGTATTCCTTGAATTCCGGTCCTAAGAGTGATTTGTGTCACATTTGGCTATAAATACATGAATAGTCGGCCCACGCAACTCTGCAAACGACATAGACCAGGACTTCGTGCTCACTGAGGCACACCTTAAAAAGTCTACAAAAGTGCTGAAGACTTTAGAGTAAAATGATAGAATCTTGCATATAATTAGCACCTCCATTCTTTGGATGGTACGGCAGTACGCGAAGGTGGCGACTGCAGAACAAACCTTGTAAAAAAGGAGAATGTTTCAAAATTTTCCTTCAATTATTAATCGGAAATAAAAGAGGCCGTTACTTTGTCCTCATAGTGGGAGTTTAGGCTTTCACGTACTTCAACTAGTTAATCGCACATTGTGTGTCTCTCGCAGAATGGTTTCGGTTGGGGTGGTGACCCATCTGAAATTCGAACCAAATTTGCCTTGGAAGAAATAGAGTCACTATTGTTAGCTTTTTCTGAGAAAAGACCGTATGCCTCAGTTAGATCGGCGTGGACTGTTCATTAGGCAAAGCCATGCCTGAGAGAGTCCTTTGGGCATCCATTTCCACCTGAACAACTCTGTCCACAGTTTTCCCGGCGCCATCACGCATATGGTGAGTCAGATAATTCCACATGACCCCGTTTAATTCACGCGTAAACCTCCGTCTCTGTGGTCTCGTTCGGTAGTTTCGGATTTGTCTAGTTTTTAATCCGTTTCAATGCTAGTGAAAAATCTGCCTGTGAGAGAGTCGACATAACTTTTCCTTGATACGATAAAATATTTTTTGGCCAAATTCCAACTCCGTGGCACTTTGTCTTGGTCAATAATCTGTGTGAAAATTTAGGCAGAATGTGGGTACGAAGGGACAATCAAACGGTGGCTAGGATTTAGCTACCGACACCGACATAAGAGCTTCAAAAACCTAAAATCGGGCTGTAAAAAATCCTCTTGAACCTTGTATCAACGAACGATTGATCGCGATTTCGATGTATCAAATTCTGACCAACTCTGCAATCGATTGTGGGGGTCTGTGAAATCTGGTGATTTCCAATCTTCAGAGTATTTTGTAAACAACATCATAGCATCACGTTCCCATGACGACGAACGCTATTGTGTTCCGCGTGAATTCCATGACTTCCATTCATGTTCATTACCGCTATGGACGTCATTGTAATGACGTTGTTAATCTCATAAATTTTGATACAGTTAGGGGTACACTGGAATGTTTTTCGAAAGATTTTGAAAATTTAACTGATCTCACCTTTTACGACCACACTGACGTTACGTCGAACAAGACCAAGATCATTCTTGGCTATGCAGTTGTAATCGTAAGACTCCGTTATATCAGTCAATCGCAGTGTGGCCTCATGTGGCTGTGGTTCGGTAAGCGGACGTTCAGCACGTATAACCGGGCCAACATTACTAGGACCAGCTGGGCTGCCCAGAGTTGACCACCAGACCATGGGGACCGGAAAGCCACCTGCCCGGCATGTCAGATTTGTCCCTTGTCCTGGAGCAACGTCAACTTTCTCGGGTATTTCGTTTATATTCGGAGGGAACTGAATACCTGTGGGTGGCAATATTCAATTGAAAATGAACCGTAAGATACGTTTGACTAATATATGAAATCTGAAAGGTTTTGTGGTGAAACAACGTATCGCTGATGGCAAAAACATGCCAGTAGCTGCTGTCGGTTCGATCATGCTCAAAATCTACTGAAAATTGCCACATGCACATTCAAAACAATGGTCGGTTTTATTACCAGAAAACCGAAATGTTGTTGTTTTTCACAACAACGAACTCTCTAAGCCCAATGTATCGTGAAACTGACACAAATTTCATTCATCATCGTTTGGCATACAGAACAAGCACCCGAAAGCCGGCGGACGGGGAACCGATGCAAAAACAACCATAAATGTCCAACGTCTAATCAAGTTTCTGCCGAATCAACTTGCCTTGTTGTTGAAGAAAATGGTAGGCAATGGTTAGATTGTCTGGGGTGGGAAGGGTGGAATGCAGGCAAGTTGAAGGTTATTACTTGCGGTCAAGCGCCTTGAATGGGAGGCAAAGTAGAGGGATGTGAAGCTCAAAACATTTACTAGGATTTGGTTTTTTTTTCAGCGTTTTTTCAGCGATCATACTTGAGGTACCCCAACCAGGTGAAAACTACTGACTTTGAAAAGCCCATTGGTTAGTCACTAGTCAGTCACATTCGTGTTTTAATTGATTTCAGCGTTTTTCAGCGATCATACTTGAGGTACCCCAACCAGGTGAAAACTACTGACTTTGAAAAGCCCATTGGTTAGTCACTAGTCAGTCACATTCGTGTTTTAATTGATAATGCGAACTTATATAGCAAGGTTATGAATAAATAATCAAGATAAATGACAATTCGGATTCTTGGTTGCTGGTTGTAAATTTGATCTGAAGTGTAGGAATGAAATGAGTGAGAAAACAATCCCATTGGTATACCATCCATCCGGACACGAGTCCATTGGATACTAAACAATTAAGTTTGTGAACACCGCGAATTGAAGAGTCACTTAACACTCAGAAATTGGTTGTAGTAAACGTTCTAGTACTAACAGACCATAATCATGCGGAAATCAATAAGCTGATACTAAAATTGCATAGAATTACACGGTATAAACAGTATTACCACAGCGGATGCCATCGTCCAAATCAGTAGAGACAGCAGGGCAACCGCTCTCTGATATCGACAAATGCACTCATTTACCTATCAAGTTAGACTCAACCGAATCTCCCATGTATGATATTATTCAACTGAATGCTCTGCCGAAGACTATCATAAACGAGAGTTTGGGGTGAATCTCCCGTGAAAACCAAATTGATATGCAAATGAGTGTACTGGCAAAATCTGTCCACTTTGGGTCCAAGAAAACATAAGGTTGACGGAAACTCGGGGACCGTACCTACCTGATGAGCCTCAAGAAAGACGAAACGAGTCGTGGTCTGCCAGAGCGTTTTTAGCATACTTGCCAGTAGTTTCCTTTACGGTCCCTAACTTGTTTGAATAGGTTGCGTGGTGCATCAACGCGACTATTCCGCTTAGTTTACATGACACAAGGGAGGAGCTGGCCCCGATTTCCGTTCTTATAGGAGTTCCTCAGCTGAGTGCTTCTTTCGCTGTAAAATGAGATGAATTCCAGATATCTAACATAAGCCTCTCTTAAATAAGCAATACCCAGCCAGCGCCAAGTAAATTCACGCGAATTATCACGTCAGGTGAGCCAGTCTCAATGCCTAGGAGTGAGTGCGTTCGGCTTTTCGCATCTGGAAGTTTGGATGCCTCCGTTGATTGTCATTGGAGCAGTCGTAGCATAACGACCTCACAGAATAGATGTGTATTCCAGCAAGATTTAAAAGAGTCGAAGCACTAAACTTGCGCATTCCCGCTTTGCCGTAGACTCACCATAATAATTGCACCGTGGCAAATGAGGACCGTAGATAGAACACATCCTACAACCAAGAAAATACTGTCAACTAATAGGAACATGCTTTTCCCAAGGGTGTTCGTCTTTATGATGAAGGATCTCCCGCAAATGTCGTTGTTAAGATTCAGATGAATTTGACTCCGTCATTCTATCGACTCAGGTGGGGTGAAATGAGTTGTTTGGAGATGACATTCGTCTGAGCGCAGGCTAATCACCCCTAATTATACGTGGGTGAGTGACAATGCTGAACACCTCCCGCTATTGGATCGAATCCACCAGGCATACTTTGTTGAAGACGCCTAACAAGTTCGTTTGTAACACTCACTGACATGGTAGCCGAAATATAGGAAACATAACCCCAGAACCATACTTTGATTTGCAAACTTTCCATGCATAATATTGCTGTAAGTCGCCTTGTGGATTTCTAGTCTAAGGCAGAAAGATATTCTCATTCGTCGATGATGGAACAACTAAATCTAGATACTGTTCGATGTGTCCGAAAAGCTAACTTGTGATTATCAAACGTAAAAATTAGAGACATTCGGATTAACCTCAAGTAATTTGGAAAAAATACGAAAAATTACTTACCAATTTAAAAGAGACCAGCTATCTTACGGAAATTTACTGGTGAACGAAACCCAATCATAAAACTCTCACCATGCCAGAAAAACAGGTTAGTTGGTTGTCAAGCACTCGCATTGTAAACCCCATTCCCTTCCTTTCATACAAATACGGGATAGGAAGAGTCTAAAATTTAATGATGATGTTAAGGTGTGGTCCATTATTTGGGGATATAAATGCATTCACTGTGCTTTTGGTTTATTGGACATTCAATATCTGTCACGTACCTTAAAAAATAAAACGGATTTTTACCGACTTGCCGAAGATTAATATGAAATGAAAAGTTAATAATTTACCACTCGTTTTCTATAGAGAGCACAACCACCAACCCGTCGCTATGCACCAGTACGCTCCATAACAACGCACTGATGATGTCACCTCGATTGGTGATTTGCAATCAAATTACCCTGCTCAGCAAAAGAACCAGCGACCATTAACCAGTGGTTGTATATTTTGGATTGTTGACGCGTATTTTGGCTTTCTATCGTGTCTAAATAGAAATTATGTCACCTCATTGGTGATTTGCAATCAAATTACCCTGCTCAGCAAAAGAACCAGCGACCATTAACCAGTGGTTGTATATTTTGGATTGTTGACGCGTATTTTGGCTTTCTATCGTGTCTAAATAGAAATTTGGTGGAGCGAACAAAGTTCCTTTATGGTCACACTGTGCAGAAGTTCCATCCGCGACTCTTCGATTCCATGAATTTCGAGCAGTTGACCTCACGAATAGCACCTGAACACTGTACTGCCGGGCATCGGATGCCAACCCATTCAGGCCGACATAACATTGACACACGGACGTCATAATATTTTCATTAATAGTCCTACATTGATTACCAAAATATAGTCTGATGAGAGCACCAATAGGATCATCTAGAGCTCGTGGACAGGATATGGGCTAAAATAGGTGCCATCAACAACACCTTGCATGGATAGCGACAGTCATTCGTTAACACCTTGACTCAAGAATGTGCACAGATGGTTTGCAAGACTAACAGCCGCGTTTCAATTTCCCACCGAAAGTTTAGCCGTGTGGAAAACTTGGTTTACTGCGCAAAACCTATCCATGTAGAAGCCGCAAATTCTATTCTGTTCTTACTGCCCACACATATAAAATCGAATATCATAATCCTATTCAGGTTTGAAATATTCACAACAACTAGGGAGGCATATAAGTGTGAAACAGACTGTAATATTTTGGGTTCTGACCGTGTCAGTAGTTGTCCTGGTCGAGTATTTCGAAGTTTGATCTGAACATTGTTCTCTTCTGAAGGACTACCAGTTGGTTTCGACATTGCGAATTGTTCGCTTTGTGCTGTAAATCGCAGCTGTGTTGCAATCTGTACACGTCAGCATTGTACCACTCTTTAATTCGATTTTCACGCTCAAAGACATAAATGTTTGTCAACGGGTTTGGTCTGCTGACTTGTCCCTTGACCTCACAGAGCGTGTTCTTTTCCTTCTGACACAATACATTATTTTCTAGGTTTCTTTATACATTCTGTACACAACATCGCGTGAGTAGCCAACGAACTGTGATTGTATGGTATGAATGATCACAGCTTTGACTCCCTTTAGCTATAACAGCGTTTGTCTAGTGGTAACATAAGAAGACGGTTTGTGTGTACTTGTGCCAATTGGAATACTCTTTTCAGCCACAAAGATAAACAAAATAGACGCACGTTCATATCGATATCCCAGTAAAATAAGAAACCGACGCGGTGACTAACTTGTCCACACGGCTCATAGAGACGCAATTCTAAGCTTGGCATTCGAACACATTACAGAACCTGTTGCATCAGCTAACGACCTCAGTAGGCGAGCGCTCATCATCCCGGCGAAGTAGGGAATGGTAACAGACATGTTTAAATTTTCACATAGCACATAGCATTGCAAAAACGTGGACAGTGAGATACGTTTTTGGGTAGCCGTAAGAGCGTCAGCTTTCAGTGCGTTTTTTCGTGGTTTCTGTAGGGCCCTGTTTGTGTTCACCACAACGACAAGGGACAATTGAGTAAGGTGTCACAAAAACAGGAGCTGTTTTAATGCTACTGGAACGTACACTTCCAGGAATTCCGATTTGCCAGTGAGGTTCTCATTGTTGCCACCACAACGGGACAATTGAGTAAGGTGTCACAAAAACAGGAGCTGTTTTAATGCTACTGGAACGTACACTTCCAGGAATTCCGATTTGCTTTGCCAGTTCTCATTGTTGCCTTTATATTATATATATATA